GGTATGTGAGGAGCTCAACACGAGATTTAAGGAAGTATTTACAGTAGAGACAGGAAGGACTCTGGGGGGACAGACCAGATGGGGACACCAGCAAGGAATACACAAACAAGTGTTGGACGACATACATACAGATGAGGAGGTGAAGAAACTGCTAAGGACATCGATACCTCAAAGGCAATGGGACCGGACATCTCCCCATGGGTCCTTAGAGAGGGAGCAGATATGTTGTGCGTGCCACTTACCACAATCTTCAACACATCCCTGGAAACTGGGCAACTACCTGAGGTATGGAAGACGGCAAATGTAGTTCCCATTTTTAAAAAAGGAGACAGAAAAGAGGCACTAAACTATAGACCTGTGTCATTGACGTGTATAGTATGCAAAATTATGGAGAAGATTATCAGGAGGAGAGTGGTGGAGCACCTGGAACGGAACAGGAGTATAAATGCCAACCAGCACGGATTCACGGAAGGCAAATCCTGTGTCACAAACCTTCTGGAGTTTTATGATAAAATAACAGAAGTAAGACAAGAGAGAGAGGGATGGGTTGATTGCATCTTCTTGGACTGCAAGAAGGCCTTTGACACAGTTCCTCACAAGAGATTAGTGCAGAAGCTAGAGCATCAGGCACATATAACAGGAAGGGCACTGCAATGGATCAGAGAATACCTGACAGGGAGGCAACAACGAATCATGGTACGTAATGATGTATCACAGTGGGCACCTGTGACGAGCGGGGTCCCACAGGGGTCGGTCCTAGGACCAGTGCTATTTTTGGTATATGTGAACGACATGACGGAAGGGTTAGACTCAGAAGTGTCCCTGTTTGCAGATGATGTGAAGTTAATGAGGAGAATTAAATCTGATGAGGACCAGGCCGGACTTCAAAGAGACCTGGACAGACTGGACACCTGGTCCAGCAAATGGCTTCTCGAATTTAATCCTGCCAAATGCAAAGTCATGAAGATAGGGGAAGGGCACAGAAGACCACAGACAGAGTATAGGCTAGGTGGCCAAAGACTGCAAACCTCACTCAAGGAGAAAGATCTTGGGGTGAATATAACACCGAGCATGTCTCCGGAAGCACACATCAATCAGATAACTGCTGCAGCATATGGGCGCCTGGCAAACCTGAGAACAGCATTCCGATACCTTAGTAAGGAATCATTCAAGACACTGTACACCGTGTAAGTCAGGCCCATACTGGAGTATGCAGCACCTGTTTGGAACCCGCACTTGATAAAGCACGTCAAGAAACTAGAGAAAGTACAAAGGTTTGCGACAAGGTTAGTTCCAGAGCTAAGGGGAATGTCCTATGAAGAAAGTTTAAGGGAAATCGGCCTGACGACAGTGGAGGACAGGAGGGTCAGGGGAGACATGATAACGACATATACTGCGTGGAATAGACAAGGTGGACAAAGACAGGATGTTCCAGGAAGGGGACACAGAAACAAGAGGCCACAATTGGAAGTTGAAGACACAAATGAGTCAGAGAGATAGTAGGAAGTATTTCTTCAGTCATAGAGTTGTAAGGCAGTGGAATAGCCTAGAAAATGACGTAGTGGAGGCAGGAACCATACACAGTTTTAAGACGAGGTTTGATAAAGCTCATGGAGCGGGGAGAGAGAGGGCCTAGTAGCAACCGGTGAAGAGGCGGGGCCAGGAGCTAGGACTCGACCCCTGCAACCACAAATAGGTGAGTACAAATAGGTGAGTACACACACTGTCACTGACACTGACTGACACACACAGCTCAAGGGAATGTCGTACGAGGAAAGGTTAAGGGAAATCGGACTGACGACACTGGAGGACAGAAGGGTCAGGGGAGACATGATAACGACATACAAGATACTGCGGGGAATAGACACAGTGGACAAAGATAGGATGTTCCAGAGAGGGGACACAGGGACAAGGGGTCACAACTGGAAGCTGAAGACTCAGACGAGTCACAGGGACGTTAGGAAGTATTTCTTCAGTCATAGAGTTGTCAGCAAGTGGAATAGCCTAGCAAGTGAAGTAGTGGAGGCAGGAACCATACATAGTTTACGCGACGGCCTGGAGTTTTGAGACTGTCTGACCGCGGGTTCAAATTCCGCCCGTGTATGGTTTGACTGTTAGTGTACAGCTTTATTCCAACTTAGAGAGAACAAACTATTTGAAGAGAATCAGCATTGGCTTCGCATCCCTAGTTTTGAAGGTGCTCATTATTCACCTATCATTTTCCTAGCAGATGTGGTATAGATACATTTTTATGATCTTTGAAAGTGATATTTTCTGACATCACTTCCAGGTCTTTCACATTAGTTTTTCACCCTGCTATATGGTTAGAACTTGTTTTATATTCCGATCCAGTTTTCTAGTGTGTATGCCAGGATGGCATCCACTCTAGAAATTCCCCCAAAATCCAGTGACGACCGATGGGAAAGGAACACTTATTCTTCCATATTCTGGAACAATGTGAAGCTGAAGCAAGAGAATGGAGACTTGTATACTGCCAAACCGAGGCGCAAAAAATCTTGAAACAGAAAAGAAGGGCCTACTAGTAGAAGTAAGAATGTAATCACTTCACTACGAGGCAGTGTAGCAAACCTACTAGGTAGGTCCCTCTCAAATCCAACTTTTCTCACTCGTAACTAGTGGTCAGGTAATAAAGTTGTCGAAGATTTCTTCTGTACCCCAATGGAAATAAGTCACTCTGTCTGACTTTTTTGGGTTATCCTAGGTTCTCTACACATATACTGCTATGTATAATAATCTATGTAACTGTATTTGTGTATACCTGAATAAACTTACTTGCAGTGCTGCGCCTTACTTTTGACAGTATCTAAGTCTCCATTCTGTTGCTGCAATTTCACATCATCCCAGACTATGGAGCAGAACTCTTCTTCAAGCTGAATACTTCAACACTACGTCTTCGAGGGTGATAGACCGATTACATCGTCTTTTCATCTCTACTGCCTACTCTGTATTCGACTGAATACAGAGGAATAAAGATACCAAAAAAGTGTGCATGTTTCTTAGTAATCAACTTCGTCGGTATTGTATACCATTATCATATTCATATGGTGGCCCGGTGGCCTGGTGGCTAAAGCTCCCGCTTCACACACTGAGGGTCCGGGTTCGATTCCCGGCGGGTGGAAACATTTCGACACGTTTCCTTACACCTGTTGTCCTGTTCACCTAGCAGCAAATAGGTACCTGGGTGTTAGTCGACTGGTGTGGGTCGCATCCTGGGGGACAAGATTAAGGACCCCAATGGAAATAAGTTAGACAGTCCTCGATGACGCACTGACTTTCTTGGGTTATCCTGGGTGGCTAACCCTCCGGGGTTAAAAATCCGAACGAAATCTTATCTTATCTGACCTGATCTTTATCTCCCTTTACGTCTTCTCTTTCCCTTTATTTTCTCTGCCTTTTTCTTCTGCCTATGAGTTTTCTCTCTGGGTTTTGTCCTACCCTCGTGGGCCATTTGCTCACCTGTAGTGCTGCTTTTTCTCTCTCGTTCTTAGACTACCTGTAGTTTTGTTTTATTTACATTTCACTCTCTGACTCTTGTGTCACTACCATTACTTTCAAATTGCCACTAATGCACTACTTACTACTGCTTTTCTGTCGCGCTTAATGGCCCTAGTAAGACCGAAACGTCATAAGTTTCATTCTCCTATGTGCGGGTTGTATATCATAAGATATAGGCTACACATAAATTATTTAGACTGGCAAACAGACAAAAAATAATCATTTGCAAATAAATATTATCTATATATGATAAGCTGAGAGATATTCTGAAATTCGGCACAACAACAAAAAGCTCAATATTCTCTCCCATCTTTTTTCTCATCCTCATATCTGACAGAGACAGAGATGTAAGCTATAGTATCGTGTCTTCTTTTGCTGAAGATACTAAAATTTTATGAGAGTGTCATTCACTGAGGACACTGCAAATCTCCAAGCGGATATAAACTAATTCTTCAAATGGGCCTCAGAAAGCTATATACGTTCACTGAGGACAAATTGTAATTACATCGCTAAGGAAAACTTGAGGAAATAAAAACTGAATTGGAGTATGCAACAAATTCTAACCACACAATAGAGCGAAAAACTAATGCGAAGGACTTGGGAGTAATAATGCCAGAAAAATCTTACTTTCAAAGATCCCAACAATGTTTCTATTACATCTGGTAAGAAAATGATGCGATAGAAAATGAAAACCTTCAAATCAAGGGATGCCAAGCCAAGGATGATTATCTTTAAATCACTTGTTTTCTCTAGGCTGAAATACTTCTGTACACTAACGGACCTTCTCAAGGCAGGCGAAACTGCAGATCTGGAGAACATACAGAGAACTTTCACTGCACATACAACTACAATAAAGCACCTCAATTACTGTGACCGTTTGAAGTCCCTTGACCTGTTTTCCTTGGAACGCAGGCGAGAAAGATACGTCATAATTTACACTTGGAAAATCCTAGAGGGACTAGTCCCAAATCTGCATACGGAAATCACTCCCTACGAAAGCAAAAGACTCGGCTGGCGGTGCAATATCATCCAATGAAAAGCAGGGGGTGCCATGAGTACACTAAGAGATAACACAATAAGTATCAGGGGCCAAAGACTTCAAATACTTCATAGAATACATAAGGGGTATTACCAAAAGACCCCTAGCTGTCTTCAAGGAGAAGCTGGACTAAGTCAGTACCTGACCAACCAGGCTGTAGATCGTTCGTTGGATTGCGTGCGGCCAGCAGTAGCTGCCTGGTTGATCTGGCCCTGATCTGCCTCAGGGCTTGGTCATGGAGAGGGCCGCGGGGGCGTTGACCCCCGCAACACCCTCCAGGTATAATCTTGGAAATATTGTAACCATGACGTGCTTAATTAATAAAAGTGGTTTCTAGTGAGACACTTGACAAGTCCTATCTTACTTTTTTGATCTATGTCCACGTGACAGATCATATCTCCTTGATTAAAGTCTGATAAGACCCGAAATGTCTTGTACATAAGAGACGGGAATGGTACTGTGAGTGCTGTTGCTTCATGGTACCCACGGGACTCCCTTCAGTTTTCATTTGTCCCTTGCTGTTGTTCAGTATTGGTATAACAACCGAAATTTGTCCCTTACTTGTGCTCAATATTAGCCATAACAAAATCGTGTAAATCAGGCCCATAAATAATGCCTGTGTGATAGATGAGCGTTGTATATTTAAAATATATGGCTTTATAACTTCATAATAAAAATATAGGGAATTACAAGGAGTCGTTCAGAGGAAGCTTGATTTAGAGCAATGTTGGGCAAACAAGGCTGGTCCAAAACTGCCCTTCTGAGAGCTGATGCTGGTCTCATCCTCCTGCTGTTGCTGCTGCTGATAGCTTCTCCCATGTCTTCTGCGGGTAAGACTGTAACAACACTCAAGTTTTGTTCTGTTTATCACCGTACAACATTTGAAGGGATACATCAATGAGTAACGTAGTAACACAAGACTGGATAGATGGTGAGCATTCAGTAATGGAACTCCGCTGATTATATCATTAAGACCCTTACGGTTGGTTTGTTAGGATTAAAGTCTAAAAATTAGTTGCCCTCTTCTTCCTTGGATCAAACTTGGTAACTTCCCATTCCTCAGACGATGTGTGACTTACGGATTTAGTGCTTTCCCATGATTATAATAATTCCGTAGGAGTGTTTTATACTTTAAACTGTTATTTTGGAGTCTTGCATTATCATTATCATTATTTGGGGGATGGTGGTGAATATAGGGGCGGGGGCTCTAGACCTCTGCTGGTGCCGCTACTGGATCCAAGAAAATGGAGGGCAGTTTAGTCTCCTTTTATTTAAAGACCTTCAGCTCACACACTGAGGTCCAGGGATCGATCCCTGGTACGGCTGGAAAACATAAAGACGTGCTTCCTTAAGACACCCGCTGTCCACGTTTAATTATCAGTAAAACAGGTACCTGGGTGTTAGTCGACTGGTGTGGGTCGCATCCTGGGACAAAATTGATTTAATTTGCCCGAAATGCTCTGCATAACAAGGGGCTTTCTGTATAGTAGTATGTCATTGATGTCAGCTAGGCCTGTATACCTTGTACATGTACTTGTAGAAATAAAGATCATTATTACTACTAATAATATCAGGTAACCAAGTTTGACCATGGGCGGCGTGTAACTCACAGAGAACTAATACAATAAACATTTACATATTATTTTGTTCCTCCTTGCCTTCTGCCTTCAACAATCCCACACTAGCGGTGCATGAAGTCTTTTGACGAAGTAATCGAAAATTGATTTCTATTTTTTTATGATAATCGTAATGACCTTTATCTGCGCCTTTCCTCATATGATAAACAGCAATGTCTGAAAGCGTTTGATAATGGTGTGTACACGAATTGTTTTCATGGGTACAGAGATACGGGATAAGGCCGGGCCAACAAGTCCATACCGTGCACAAGGTGAGTGTTAGTAAGAGAAGAATATTCCCATTATTATTATTTAACCAAGGAGGGTTATTAACCCTAGATAACCCAACACAGCCAAGTATGTAGCAGCATATTTTCATTTGGGTTCTCTCTTAGAATGCAATCGACAATAACGGAGGAATACAGGTGACCCACGCCTCTGTTCTGCATGGGTATTAGATCCAGGTCTTTTTAGTTGTTAGCGTAACGTTCCACTATTGAACTATGCATCGCCCTCATCTTCCTTGCCAGGTTTTCAGTCTGTGACCGAAGGCAACGCCTCCCTCACCATCTCCCCTCACGAGGTGGACCTAACAGTGGGTGATGTCTACACCTTTAATCTCACTTTCAGGTAACTATACTTCTAAATGAATCCTTTAATCATCTCACGTGATAACTCTGCATCTTCTGAGCCTTGATACTCTCAACTTTATCTTTTCAGTGACACTCGTTTCACCTTCTTTCTTATCGCTTAATGTTTCACACTTGTGTCTAAGTGTCGTACCATCATCTGCTTTAGTTTTAAATTCCTGTAAATTTGTTTTAGTTTGTAATTATTCGAAATCATCCATTGTAACTGAAGGACAATAAATGTGTAAAGTCCCTCGGTAGTTAGGAAAATTCTCAAGTGCAATTGTTACGTTGGTGTTACAGCGAAGAGTTCACAGGATGTGTCATCGTGACCTTCAACCTGACCAAGGATGTGGGTGACCTTCCGCTGTCCCTGGAGCTATGTGACGGCTCCCCCGGGGACTGGTGGCCCCTTAACCTCACCACCACCAACAACGGCAAGGCCACACTCACTGCTGAGGCTTTCCCGAAGGGACTGGTAGAGTAAGCTCATCGTTCTTTATCGTCCCTCCTCACCATATTATCAATCTACTATTATGATTTTGTACTACTTTATGCTGCCTCTTTCTCTCTTCCTGTCTACCCAAAATAGTTTTTTACCGCTCTATCTTACCCGAACCCTTCCCATTTACATTCTTGTCATCATTCTTCTGGTATAAAAAAAAAACTTGGGGGAGACTACAAAAGTCACCTATATTTTTTAGTCTTCTCCATACAAACTCTCATTTCTCTCCTCACATACCACCTCCCAACACCTCTCAAATAATCTACACATTAGAGAAGAAATTTTAGACAACGTTTCGGTCCGTCCTGAACAATTATCATGCTAAATTACAGCTGGATAGAAACAAAGATTTTCTCCAATGTGTGGGAAAGTACTCCAGTGGATCAAAGAGTATTTTAGGGGAAGGAAGCAAAGAGTGACTGTCAGGAAGAGACATCAAACTGAGGAAGAATAAATAGCGGAGTTCCGCAAGAATCGGTATTAGGACCAGTACTGTTTTTGGTTTATGTGAGTAACATTTCATGTGAGACTGATTCAGATATATCCCTGCTTGATGATGATGTAAAACTAATGAGAATAAAAACAGACGATGGAAAGGAAGGACTCCGAAGGGATTTGTACAAATTGCCAAGAGTGGTCAGATAAGTGGTTGCTTTAATTCATCTCCAGGCAAGATTGGGGAAGGAGCAAGAAGACCGGAAATGAGGTATAGACTAGGGGGACAGAAGCTGCATATTTCACTCGAAGATAAAGACCTAGAGGTGAGCATAGTGCCCAATATTACACCAGAAGCTCAAACCAGCCGAATAACCTCTGCAGCCAATGCTCGTCTGGCAACCGTAACTGTAACGTTCAGGAATCTCAACAGTCATTCCAGTTCCTTTATACAACATACGTTAGAGCCATCATGAAGTGTGCAGCGCCAGAATGAACCCGCACCTGGAAAAAAAACACGTTAAGAAACTGGAGAAAGTATAGAAGAATGCAACATGGCTTGTTACTGAATGAAGGGGCATCAGCTAACGGAATTAGACCTAATGACACTGGAGGACAGAAGAGCCTGGGAGGACATGATAACATACAAAATACTCAGGAGAATTGATAAGGTAGACATGAATAGGCTGTTTGAGAAAAGAGAAACGGGAACTCGGGGACATCGCTTGAAGTTAGCCACAGATGAGCTACAGGGATGTTAGCAAGTATTTCTTCAGTCTCAGAGTGGTCGGGAAGTGGAACATTCTTGATAAAGAAGTGGTGGAGATAGGCTCCATACATAGTTTTAAAAGCAGGTACGATAGGGTTCACGAGGTTAAAAGGGAGTGAATATGAAGACTGACAATTAAAGAGGCAGGACCAGGATCTGAGAATCGACCCCTGCAACAACAAATAGGTGTGCGCACGCGCACGCACGCACACACGTTTGCAGTAAGACTGGTTCCGGAGCTAACGGGTATGTCTTATGAGGAGAGGTTTAGGGAAGTCAACCTGATGACACTAGAGGATAGGAGGGAAAGCGGGAGGGGGGAAGGAGTGACATGATAACAACGTATAAAATATCGAGAGGAACTGACAAGGTGGAGAGGGCTAGAATGTTTCAGAGATGGGACACAAGAACAAGGGGGCCACAACTGGAAACTGAAAACTCAGATGAGCCATAGGGATGTTAGGAAGTAGGTTGTCAGTGTCAGGGTAGTAGGAAAGAGGAATGAACTGGATGTTGAAGTGGTGGAGGCGAACTCCATATACAACGCTGTTACAAAATGTCTTAAACGTGCTCTTATCTAAGTCTCGAGAAGCTTGCTGCTGTGGGGAATTCTGAAGGGTTTTCTCTCCACGATGACTCACATGACTCAACCTTAACCTATCTCAGGCTATCACTTCAGATTGTTATTTTTGGTCACTTGAACCCTGTCACACCATCGAGTGTGGGGACCGTGTCTGGAAGATCTACATTTTTCTTGGGTTGAATGGTTGCGACGGCCCAAAGGCCACATGAACACTACCACCGAAGAATCTAAGAGTTTTATTCACGGAAAAGACGTATAAACTATAGAGAGGAAAACATTTACGTAAACTGCACGTATCGGGAAGACAAATTACAGTTCTTTTCCCGCTTTTAAAACTTGTGTGGATATGTAATTAATAGGAAGGTAGATACAGAATTTACACTTAAACTGCTACTAGTACATATATACTACCACTATGCCCTGCATGGTCCATGATCAACTAATCGTCTTAGGTGGTTCACAAGCTTAACTTCAGAGTTCAATAATCAGCTATATTTTTTAGCATTTATCACTCAAGAGGACAGGCTGTTCCAGTGTTTTGTAAGAGAAAATAAAACTTATAACACTATTGGTGTTGCGCCTCTTGCCCCGGATTTTTTCTCATATTTTATTAAATAGTTTTGCACCTTAAATAGGCCCTATGCTATAGAATCTTAAAAGTTTAAATGAGATCTCAAGTCTCATTCATTGTTAAAATATAGGATCACTTCACCTTTTTTTTTGTGGATGAGATGCTTAGTGAAGATACTTCAGCCAGTCGTGGCTCAATCTATGATCACATAATTATAAAAATCTATCTCGATTCGATCACATTTATGTCCGGGTGTTGTGCGTGCATGTGTTTTTTTTTAACGTACCATGAACAACTGTATAAAAAATAATTTTCCGCGTGGATTTTTTAGTTTAAATTTACTGCCAAACTTTTGAGTACCTATCTAGATAAAACTACCTTCTATTCTAACATTTACCATTCCCAAATACCCTCACTCTTCTTGATGAATGTATCTTAATCTTCTGCTCCCACTCCATTTTCATGCAGATTATCTGTATTGAACTAACCTCTATCTCTGTTCATGTTATCCTAGAGATGTGTTCTAATACGTCACTCTTCACATATGGCTTAGTTTTTCGTTTATTCCCATGACTGTCTTCAACATGTTGCAGTAAATCATATAATAACAAATCATCTTCCTTTATCTTTCACTATGGTAGGAAGTATGAAGGTTAACTTTAAACACGAATTCAAATGTAAATACAGCAGACCCATGGGGGTCTGAGATTTATTACAAAGGTATATTAATAGTCAAGAGGCAGAACTAGGCGCTGAAGGTCAATCCTAATAAATACTGCCTAGGTAAGTGCACAAATCTATTTGACCGCTCTCTTCCCTCCAGGACGAGGGCCACGGAAGCCTTTGCTTTGGTGTCGGTGATGACTAACCCGAACATCAACGTGGCGAGTAACGTACTGGGCTGGATCTATACCATCGCCTGGGATATCTCCTTCCTCCCGCAAATCATTCACATCTGGCGTCGGAGGAGGTTTGTGACTCAATTTTTTTTTTTATGGTCATCAAAATTTAATGCAAAATACCGTGATTTACGTAACACTTTACAATGTTAGAGTATGGACTACATTTACTTAAAGTGACCTATGCTGTATACGATAATTATAGTTTTCGTTTTCATTTTTACTAATATGTTCTTGCTCTTCCAATATATCTGAAATTTATCTTATCATAGATACGATAAATTTCAAAGGAATTAGATTCCTCTTAATTCCAGTAAGGTCTTGTTAACCCTAAGAAGTTCAAGTAATACTGAACTTTGCTTGTTTAGGTTAGTTTGTTATATTTGAAACCTGTCAAGTGCACGAAGGTGCACTTGACAGGTGCTGCTTTCCACTTGTAAACCACGTCAAAAATACACCACTAATTAAGATTGGGAATAAAGCTAATATTCTATTCATGGGTAAAAGCTAAATTAGTACTGGTCATACAGCGCATGGGAAATGAAAGGTAATAAGGTTTTACCTGATGAAGGTAAGGGTAACTCCAATTCTTTGGATGAAGAGATCTTGGCCAGCATCAAGGCACCCACCCTCCTTCCTTGAAAGGTTGAATTTTTTCATAATGATATAAGACACGTGCTTGATGAGTCTCGTTCGTATTTGTTGCAGCGTGGAGGGCTTCAGTTTTGACTTCATCACCTTCAACTTCATTGGGTTCTTCTCTTACTTCATCTTCAACATGGGACTCTACTGGATCCATGCCATTAAGGTGAGGAACAAGAGGCCAACACTTGTGTAGCCCTTGGACACAGTTAGTTTAGTATTTTTATTATGCACACCATACTCATCCTGTGGGCGGTAGTCAGAAGATTACAGAGGTACATAATGGGTCCAGGGACTGGGCTGCAAAGTTTTGATAGCTGAACAAGTTACAAAGGTAATCAACCATTCACACCTCGGATACATACATGTAAGAATGGCCAGCTACTCGCTCCTCCAGCATAAACTATCTACAGTTACTCAATTCCTTGAACCAAAGGCCGTTCACCGGCATCAAAGCAAGGGAGGGGGAGGGGTCTACAATGAGAATTAGGCGATATTTAGTGCACTGCGTAAAGCACATATACAACAGTCGCAAATCCAAATTACATGTAGTACACTGTCAAGTGTGGGCACAGATATAGCATGGGTATACTACATGTAGTACACTGCCTTCCCCAGGAGGAGTACTTTATCCGGCACCCCAGCAGTGTACTACACGTCAGACTCAATGATGTGATCTTTCCACTGTACGCTCTGCTATGTACTGCTATCGAGATTGTTCAGTGCTTCTTCTATCATGTAAGTAGCTATCACAGGACCAGACTTTACCCCTGTCTCTCTTTGTTTTTCATGGATGGTGGAATTTATTATAAAAATCATGTACTGGAAATTGGAGAACCGATAAAAGGCTACGCAAATAATATAGATTATTATAAAATATTAAAAAAATATAGAAATATTATTATTAGTCAGAATTAAGCGCTAAACCCACAAGGGTCATACAGCATATAGAAACTGCCATTGATAAACGTTCATATAAATGAATTCTTAAGAAACACATGTTTCTCTCGTAATGTATTTAATTACTATTAGATATATGGGTGAGGAAATGTCTAGAAAGAAGTTCACAACAAATGTTAAGACTTTTAACTAACAAATACTAATTCAAAACTCTTGCAATAATAAACCACCTGGAGAACTATGATTAATCAAAATTTCTGCTAATTAAGATAATATAACAGTCACAAAAATTACACAGGAATAAAACTGATAGATGACGTTTACTTGGATTTCAGAAGTTTTCGAGAGAGTTTCCTATAAAAAGACGAAAAGAAGTGCCTCGTGTGTTGTGTTGTTGTTTTGGGTAGTGTAGTGTATAGTGTAGTGTAGTGTACTAACACCCTGGGTTTGTATGTGGTGAAACAAGAGAGCACCGGGTCAGCGGGTGTCCACGCCGTGCATGGTCATCTCTGGAGTGTTGGTGTTAAGTGCAGTGGTTGGGTGCGTGCTGGTGCCTACCGTTGACTCCCTCCTCTGGCTCGATCTCCTCTACTGGCTCTCATACATCAAGCTTATTATCACCTGCATCAAGTACATTCCCCAGGTGGGTTCTCACAGCCTCAGGCGAGTGTCACACCCCAGGTCAATCTTACAGCTTCAGGTAAGTTCCCTAAGGTCAAATATATTCCTGTGAACCCGGTGCGGATAATGGCTAGGTGAGTCCATCTCTTATATTAATTTCACAATACTAGACGAGTCTCGTAGTGTAAAGTGAAAACCTTAGGGCCAGGTGAGTACAGGAGAGCTTCAGCTTACCAGCCAAGTTATCTCACTTATAAACTGGGCACTTACGAACAACTCGATCGTAAGTCAATAAAAAAAAAATCGCATCTCATTTGTAAGTTAGGACTTCCTGTTTAGGGAATTAGGTGTCATGGAACTCCCCATCGTTTAACGTAATTATTCCTCCTCCCTGAACGTGCCTTTTATATACAAGTATTTCGCTCTTCCTCACTGACATGTCTCTGTCACAGAATCTCACTCTGCGTGTCTCTCATTCGTGTCTGCCTCACACAGCTGTATGAGAACTACCGCCGTCAGAGCACCTCCGGCTGGAACATCTGGCAAGTTATCCTTGACTTCATTGGTGGAACTTTCAGCCTGTTGCAGATGTTCCTACTGGCTGGTAACTATGGTACGTGAACCTCTCATTGTTTACTCCTTTATTCCCCTTTACTATCTCACCTCTTCCTCCACCCTCCCGACCACAAATCTTCCTTACCCTCCTCCTCACATTGTATAATATGTATTTTTTTTAAAGGGTGGACGGGTAAGCCTGTGAAGGCCTCTGTCAGATGACCAACAACTCCAGTGGAGGATCATCATATGACTAAGACCCACTTCAAGAAACACTTGTCCTATATCCTGACAACTCTTACTTAACTTAACCTAATTTCCTCCTCCTTTCCCCTCCCCATCACACCCCTTCCTCCTTCCTTTCCTTCCCATCTCACCCCTTCCGCTTTCCCCTCTCCATCAACTAAGTCCTATTAAGTTTGCCTATTATCTCCTTTCCCTCAGAGAGACCAGCTTCTACAAGTAGGAGGCTAGACGCAAGTTCCAGAGGAAGCTTTTCCTGGGACACACTTTTACTGTGTACAGCTTTTATCTAAAGTTCGACACAGAGCGAAACGTTGTCCCAATAAAAGTTTGTTTCTGCAAGTTGTGCCTTTGGGTTTATATAGGTGGGCAAAATACCCTTTCATCCATAGTCTATGAGTCTGGGATGAGTAGCATGCAATGGGTCAGTGTGGTAAGAATCCCACTCTTTATACCTTGAGGATATTTCGAGTCATCCTTCCCGCGGCCCTGTCCATGACCAGGCCTCGCGGTGGATCAAGGTCTGATCAACCAGGCTGTTACTGCTGACCGACGAACAAACTACAGCCAGGTTGGTCGGGACTAAGGTGCCTGTCCAGCTCCCCTTTGAAGACAGGGTTCTATTGGTGATTTCCCTTATGTATGCTGGGAGGCAATTGAACAGTCTTGGGCCCCTGTTGCTTCTTAGCGTACTCATGGCTCCCCTGGTTTTCATTAAGAGGATGCTGCACCAGCTGCCGAGTCTTTTGCTTTCATAGGGAGTGATTTCCGTGTGCAGATTTGGGATTAGTCCCCTTAAAATTTTCAAAGTGTAAATATACATACACACACATGCAGCAGGCATGTGAGAGCGTGTTAGATACGAGTGAATGGAGACGAATGGTTTTTGGGACCTGACGAGCTGTTGGAGTGTGAGCAGGGTAATATTTTGTGAAGGGATTCAGGGAAACCGGTTAGCTGGACTCGAGTCCTGGAGGTGGGAAGTACAATGCCTGCACTTCAAAGGAGGGGTCTGGGATATTTACTGTTTGGAGTGACATCTAGACTGTCATATCTGGGCACCTCTGCAAAGACAGTGATTGTGTGAATGATGGTGAACCTTCTCAGCGGACCGCCTTTACTGGAATGCAACACTCCCCCCGTGGTTGTTTTGAATCTTGTATCACTTGGTTTGCAATATTTGATATATATATATATATATATATATATATATATATATATATATATATATATATATATATATATATATATATATATATATATATGCAGGACAAGCCCCCGTGGCTTGTCCTTCATAGTTAAGATCGCCCGTCTGCGATTGTTTGCATAATATATAATATATATATATATATATATATATATATATATATATATATATATATATATATATATATATATATATATATATATATATATATATATATATATTATATATATATATATATATTATTTTATAGTTGTGCGTACTGTCTACATGTGCTTTCTATGAATAACTGATCCTTATAAGAACAACCTGACAATCGGCCGGATTTACTGGCAAACAAACGAGAAAAAATCTCATTCCTGTCAAAAAATACTGTAAGTACAGTACCCAGATGACAGAGACGTGTATATCACTAGGTGATCAAGTGCTAAATGATGTGAGTGGTCCTGCAATGTGACCAAGCAATTCCGACTAAATGGACATTTGCGCCCTAGTACATCTCCACGCCCTCCAATATTCGTCCCTTGATATAGTTCATATTAGGGACACAGACATTATTGCTTCTGAGGAATTTTCACCATATCGTGGTCGTAAACCAGGCTGTAGAAATTACAATTTCATTCAGGAGAGAGCGAAAAAATTATCTCATTAAACACCATCGCCTCGAGTTTCGAAGCGATATTTACCTGCTACAGTGCACCCTCTTGTATTCTTCAGATGACTGGCGATCTGTGCTGGCAGACCCAACTAAGCTGGGACTGGGATTACTCTCAATTTTCTTCGACACCTTATTCATTATACAGCACTACTGTCTCTACAAGTAAGTCTCTTGCATGTCTACAGGCGAATCTCACGCGTGCCTGCAGGTAAGTCTCAGGCATGTCTACACTCTACAGGAATCTAGAAGCGGGTTATATTCAAAATAATGAAGCGCTAAATCCGTGTTGGTCATACACAGTTATCGGAGTCGAAATCATAGTATATACTAGGTAGTTCATCATTTTTTTTTTTAAATATGTTGCTCAGTGTGGTAAGCCAGCGGATGATGCTTCAACAGTTAGGAGTCTTTAATTGATAGACCTGTGTCAGTAGACTTGTCTGTTTCCTGACGAATAAACCAGCAGCAGCAGCATTTTATATCCCTAAATGTTGTTCAGGAACCACTGTCGCTCACTACATTTAAAATTATTGCCACTGAATTTTCGTTACTGTTTAGTTTGTCCTTGATTTCACAAGCGTATGCACAATGATGCATGTAATCCTTTGGGCATTTTTTGTAGCTGTTGTGAAGGCAGTTGCATCAGTGACGACAGATACTGTATTTCATTACTGGTTATAATGTTTGTCTAGAGGTAAGCGTTTGGGGTCTTTGAAACTTTAAGGGGTTGTAAAACTTATGGGGAAGGGAAAGTAATCTGGTTTGATCCAAGGAAAGTGAGGATGGATCCTCTTCTTTGTATTAGGCACCCTTCACCAGTATCAGGGCCAAAGAAACTTTGCCTGGCTCAGTTAAACTATTAGACAATACCTGTTTGTTTCCTTTCTCCCACTTTGCTGTCGAAGATTGAGACACTTATGCAACATATGGGAATCTTTATTGAGGAAACATTCCGTCACACAGTGGCTTCATCAGTCCAATACAAATCAGAAGGGTGTAAGGAGAGGAGTAGTTTGAGGTAATCAGTCCCTCAGCCTGGAGTCGATGTTTAGTCCATCAATCTTGTAGAAAGTACAGCATAGGGCCGTAGACGTGGCTTATATACTGTAGTCAGGTGAGGCGAAGCAGGAGGCGGGTTCATAGTGGTACCATCCACTAGTCAATTAGGTCTTCATCCAAAGGTTGGACAAGGTTGAAGAATTCTTTGTATCAAGATCCCACGCAACAAACTCCAGGCTGAGGGACTGATTACCTCAAACTCCTCTCCTTACACCCTTCTGATTTGTATTGGACTGATAAAGCCACTGTGTGGCGAAACGTTTCCTCAATAAAGATTCCCATATGTTGCACAAGTGTCTCAATCTTCAACTTGTCGGTTTTTTAAACCATTTATGACACTTTGCTGTCGTTTATGTAAATTTAGTAACAAGAATCGTTTGCCCCATTGCTTTACTAGTGATAACATAAACATGAATCATAAATTAATAGTAAAAAAATATTGAGATGCCAAAGTAAATAACATTCCGAGCTGGAGTATACCTGGAGAGGGTTTCGGGGGTCAACGCCCCCGAAACCCTCCATGATCCACTCGGTGGATCAGGATCTGATCAATTAGGCTATTAATGCTGGCCGCACGCAACCCGACGTACGAACCACAGCCCGGCTGGCCAGGTACTGACTTCAGGTGCCTGCTGGGAGATAGGTGAACAGTTTGGGCCCCTGACACTTATTGTGTTGGAAAACCTTCCAAAATTAACATGACCTATACAGGTCTAGAATAGAATTGTCTTACTATTCCAAGCTCTTGATAATAAAAATTTAGTTTTGTACTGCAAGATCCAACACTTTTCAGAAATGTGGATGAGAGGAAGAAGTCGACAACGTCACTCGAGTTAGTGATAAAGGACGCTGACAATGCTTTAAGTGATACTGATGTTACACTCCACCTCTAGCCCACACAAGTACCCATCATACATGAGCCATCATGCTACACGGGATTGACCATCATTATATTATTCAAGGCGACGCGCTAAACTCGTAGATGCTAGATAGCCCCTGAAGAATGGGAAGTAATCAGTGTTAATCCCAGAGAAGGGAAGCTCCAAGACCCATTCACCAGCGTCAAGACACCCACCTGAAGGAATTGAGTGGAGACGAATGGTCGTTGGTAAGCTATATACCGTTGGTGTTAGCATTATAAAATCTATTAAGGGATTTAAGTAAGACGGACTTTGTTTTCGAGGTGAAAAGTAGTGATGGTTGTCATTGGATTATGTCTATGCCCTTGTGAAAAGACAGCCGGGAAACTAGTAATAGCAAAGGTGTTATCTGTGAGTCACGTTGCCTTGGCAGGATATAGCATAAAATTTCATA